GATAAACATTCCTTTCCCTGCTGCCCAAGGTCACTTTCTACTTGTTTCCACCGGCTTAAGATTCCTTCCTGAGACTGGCTGTGCTCACCACCTTCTCCCAGGCCACCTCCAGATGCTAAACAGGAATTGGGCAGAGGGCTTAAGTGTCTGCCAAATCAAGGGGACAATCCTAGGCCATTTCGAAGGCTAGTGACCACTGGCCACAAACAGAACATTCCAAGAATGGCTGGGATTGAAGTGGTGATTGGGAAGAAAGGAGGCAAGGTGGACCGCTCTGGGCTTCTTAGGATAAGGAATATCTTACATTCCTGGGCAAGACGTTAGGACCCCGTGGGGTTGGTTTAGCACAGGGATTGCAGGCAAATGATCTTAAGGAGTGAGGCAGGTCCAGGGTTAGAATATACATCGTGATGGGTCATAATGAACCGGACAGCAGGTGGTACCTCATCGAAACGGGGCAGGCCCCAATCACCACGGTCAAGTGGAGACGTAGGCTCACTATCCCTTTCAACTTTTTTTTTTTTTAAGATTTATTTATTTGACAGAGAGAGACACAGCGAGAGAGGGAACACAAGCAGGAGGAATGGGAGAGGGAGAAGCAGGCTTCCCACTGAGCAGGGAGCCCAATGTGGAGCTCGATCCCAGAACCCTGGGATCATGACCTGAGCCGAAGGCAGATGCTTAATGACTGAGCCACCCAGGCGTCCCTGTCCCTTTCAACTTTTTAAGAGAAACTAGACATCCAAGTTTGGTGGAACATTTCCCCGGCGTTGACACACGGCACAGAACACGGAGCACCCTCTGCGGGCAGGTTCAGCTCTCCGGCTGCCACTTCGCTTACCCCTAAGGGCAAGCCCTTCCTGCGTGAATCTTTCTCCCTCCAGTGTGTCACCAGCTCCCAATTTAAAACAAAAACAAAACAAAACAAAACAAACAAACAAAAAACCCAATGAAACCATGTTGGAGATTAGTCTCAGCATTTTGAACCAGTGGCTAGATGTTCACATGGGAAGGTCTTCATGGAGAGTCCAGGGGCTTATATTCGTTTCCCATTGTGTTGAAACAAACCACCCCAAACTGAATGGCTTAAACAATGTGAATTTATTATCTTACGGTTTTGTAGATCAGAAGTCTGACACAGGTCTCATGGGGCTAAAATCAAGCCCTGTCTGCAGGGCTATGTTCCCTTCTGGAGGATCAGAGGAGAATCCATTTTCTTGCCTTTTCCCAGCTTCTAGAAGCTGCCGGCATTCCTTCCTTCCTGACCCAGCAAGGGGGTTCAGCCCGCACATCAAATCTCTCATTACAGCATCAAAAGGTTCTCTGCTTTTCAGGATTCATGTGATTGGGCCCACCAGGCAATCCAGTGTTATTTCCTCATACGAGGTTGTAGTTTAAAGTGTTTTTTGTTTTTTAATTTATTTAAGCAATCTCTGCACCCAGTGTGGGGCTCGAACTCATGACGCCGAGATCCAGAGTTGCATGCTCCACCCACGGAGCCAGCCAGGCATCCCACAAAGTTGTAGTTTAAATGCCTCTGCAAAATCCCTTTTGCCACACGAGGGAACATTTTTATAGGATCCAGGCATTAGGGTATGAACAGGGCTCTTCTCTAAACTTTTGAATCTTTTCTTCAAAAAAAGTTCTGGGGAGAGAAACCTAAGATAAACAGCTTCTTTCTTTCTTTCTGTCTGTTTTCTTGTTTTATTATTTTTTAAAAGTCTTAATTCCGCATACAGTGTTATATTAGTTTCAGGTATACAATAGAGTGATTCCACAATTCTTTTTCTTTTTAAACAGATTCTTTTTTTTTTAAGATTTATTTATTTGAGAGAGAGAGAGAGAGAGAGAGAGACAGCGAGCACAAGGAGAAGCAGGCTCTCTGCTGAGCAGGGAGCCCGATGTGGGGCTCGATCCCTGGACTCCGGGATCATGACAGAAGGCAGATGCTTAACCGACTGAGCCACCCAGGTGTCCCTGATTCAACAATTCTGTACATCACCCAATGTTCATCACAAATGCATTCGTAATCCCCATCACCTACTTCACCCCTCCCCTCTGGTAACGATCAGTTGGGGTTTATCTTTCTTCATAACCAGACTCACTCTCCCCGCCCCAATCAGGCTTCCTTCTCTGTAAGAGATTATTCTAGCAGGGGCCTTTCTGTGCCGCCAGGCCGGGGCCCGCTCCAGCCAGTGGAACACTCAGCTGCCTCTCTGGCCCCGGTGCCATCTGCTACCTCGGGGCTCAGAAGCAGCCCTTCTCCCTTAGCTCCCCTCCCTGTGGAGCTTCTCAGCTGGGATTACTTACAGGGTGAGGGACGGGGGCCTCCTTCTCCCCAGGTGCGGCAAAGGTTCCGGGGCTTGCCGCCAAGGCTGGAGTCAACATCACCCAGGCTGGGGCTGGAGGCGGCGAGGGCAGGAAGAGAGCAGGACGACAAGACTGACGTGGGCTGCCCTGTCCCCGAGGGGCAGGGCCCGGCCAGCTGGAAGCTCAGGCTGCATCTGACAAGAGCTCACTTAGTCCTGTCCGTCGTCAAGTCCTTCGCTTGGGTTCAAATGGCCAACTGCTCCCACGAAGAGGATTAGGGAGTCTGGACTTTTAGCATCAGTTTTGGCAGGTGGGAGGAAGACCAACCTGTGACAGCTACCCGCCCCCCACCCCCAACCGCTTGGGAGGATAGCACTGATTCTGCGTAATGACCAGGCTGTGCCCCCCGTCTCTCTCCCTGGAACCGTATAGGTCCACAACACACACACACACGCACACACACACACACGCGCGTGCACGCACGCTCACAACCTTCAGTGGTGGAGGCAGGGACGAAAGGCATGGCAGCAGGATGATTACACCAGGGTGAATCCCAGCACTTTCATTGGCCACTGTGTGTCCTCCCGAAAATTATTTACCTCAGTTGCCCTGCTCTTAAGCAATGCCAACGACACCTTTCACGGGGTTTTTAGGAGGATTAAACGGGTTAATATCTTAATATCTGTAAAGGCAGGACACTGCCTCGGCAGCCCCGTCACACAGCTTTGTTAAATCTACAAACACGTACCCTGCTCTGAAGGATGATCTTTGGCCAACTCTACTTTAATAGCTGTACTTCTCTACTAGAAGTTAGAAATAAATTCCCAAGTGACTCAGCTTGAAACAACGCGAGGGGATTCGCGTGAGGCACATTCGGCCTGCACTCATACAGCTGTGTTTTCATTTATTTAAGCAATATCTCCACCCGACGTGGGGCTCGAACTCACCTGCTCTGTGAGGATAATCTTTGGCCAAATCGGCGTTAGTAGCCATACTTCTCTACTAGAAGCTAGAAGGCGCTGCAGGTTACATCAATAGTAACAGATATGTGTACTAGACTAGAACGAAGGAGGTGCCAAGTCCACAGTACTCTGTACTGGTCAGGTCAACACTCAGTCCGTCCAAGAGCCTGAGTTACTTCTGGGTTATTTGTACTTATTCTTAAGTCCTCCTGCTCATGGTTCTGATAGGGGGTTGATGCATTTTAATTGGAATCCACATTCCTAATGAAGGCCTCACTCTATGACCCTTAGATGCTCTTGACCCTCAACAGTGCCAGAAATCTGAGGTCCTGACAACCACGCTTTGCTTGAAGCACCGAGACCAGCACTGGTTGCCACAAACAGAGAGAGATGCCGCTGTTGGCTGGGGAGGAAACTTGAAACATGACAAACGCAGACTCTTGGAAACAATCAGAGCTGTTGGGCGGAAAGCGGGGGACACAGGAGAGCCAGGGGAGCTGGCTTCACACCATGGGAAGGGATGGGGCAAGAGAAAGAACACTTATTAAATACCACTGTGCTCTGAGCACAGTATCGCATATCTAATTAAGCTCCCATCGCAACCCTATGGAAGAGACAGAACTCTCGCACGAGACGAGGTGGACAAGAGGCAAAGTGACCTGCCCAAAGGCTCTCATAGCCAGGGGGCTCAGGCTGGCAGATCTTTTGGCCTCATGTCACGACCACTGTAACGGGACTGCATGATGCATGTGTGATATTAGAGCTTTCTCATATTCAGAGCTGGTACAATGGTATGGAAGTTCTGTACCATCGAAGGTGTCCAAGGAGGTGTGTGATGGATCTCATCAAAGATATTAAAAAGGTAATTTATTTATGCCTTGTTGGAGGGTGGAAATGGGTCATCTAGGAAGGCACCTTCCAGCTTTGAGATTCTGAGTTTCTATACTTTGGGGTAAGATAGACTCTTCAGGCATATTAAGTGATTTCTTTTCCCTGTATTTTTCACTTTCTCTTCTGTCCCCTTCTCCTCTTCATGCAGATATTCTGTTCTGGGAACACGTCTTTTTTAAAAGGAGGGATGTGGTGGCTGGCAATTTGGGCAGCTGGGATAACAGAAAGACCAAACATACTACTCTCTCTGGTTGGTGAGTCTAAATTTTTACTAAGTTTACTAAGTAGATTGCATTACATTCTAATGAGGCAAACCTGGAAAGATGACAAGAGGAAGCAATTACATCACCCTTCTTTCCCTCTCCTCCAATTCCTTGGTACCAGGCAAAGCCCAGACCCCCCGGAATGTAGGATTTAGGGCGGGGGTTGATTTAAGATTCACATTCTGCTATCCAATCACGATGGGGACTTGATATTGAAACTGGAAAATTTTTTGAAAATAAAGCGATATTTCGTCCACACCTGAGCTTGGGAACAGAAACCTATTTTAAGCCGGGCGGTGGACGTGCCTTCCTCGCAGCGGCACAAAGGGGTTGTAAGCCTGAAGTTTTTGGTCCTCTGCTGCCCCTGTGTGGACATAGCGGGGAACAACACTTCAAGATCTCGCTTGTGGCCAGAGTAAAATTGGACTTGAGAGAAAGAACCACCCCCCGAGAATCACTGGAGGTTTATGACCACGGTGAGGGAGTCAGGAACTGTTGCTATCCCCAGAAAGCTAGGGTTTTCCAAGAGAGAGGTGGGGAGCTCCTACAAGCTGTCAATGACTTCACCAGGATCTTGTCTTGTCCACCATCTTTATTTTCCCTCAAGACACCTGCAGCCAGGAAGCGAGCCATCATCTAAAGACTCCCAGGCATGCACCCCTGCAGCTTTTGGCCGCGACCAGCGCCCGCGGGCACAGCGCCAATCCTCCCACACCTCCTCTTCCTGCGCTTGGAGTAACAAGTCTGTGAGTGTCTCCCTCTGGTCTCACAGCTTTTCACACTCTCTCTTTACCGTCTGTCTCTACACCACCATCTACACAACATATCTACACCGTCACGTTCGTGCTTGCAGCATCCCTGACTCCCTGCGCAGGCACAGGACAGGGGAAGATGGGGTATCTGGGCCTCCTCCCTCCAGCTGGGAGCCAGGGCCAAATGCACCTGGCCTGACCCCCTATCCCCTCCCCTCAGGCCTCCAGACCCTGCCGCAGCCTGCGGTCCAGGGCCAGGAGCTGTCGCAAGAAGCCCCGGTTGGGGATGATGCCTCGGTGGTCCTTGACTTTCTTGATGGCCTCCACGAGGGTGAGGTGGTGGTACAGCATGAGGTAGGCCAGTACCAGCGTGGCAGATCGGCTCACTCCCACGGCGCAGTGTACCAGGATCTTCCCTGCGAGGACAGACACATGAGGAGGCTGTGGGACTGTCTGTGGTGGGCTGGAGGCAGCTAGGGAGAGGGCGACGGGGCCAGGTGAGGAGGACGACAGGGAAGCAGGTGCACACGGAGACAGGATGGGGTGCCGACTAGGGGTGGGAAGAATGTCGACCCCTGGGAGGCCTGGACGGGATAAGATGGACAACGTGCAGCAGTTCAGCGTCCGGGAGCCTGAGAGGGGCTCCCAGGGAGACAGACGCTCATCACTAATGTAAAACTGAGTCTCGCACAGTGTGAGGATCTGGGGATCTGGTGAGTGTTCCCCAGTGCATTAGCATCTGTGCTCTGTTAACACTTTGGATTATTTCCTTCTCTTCTCATGCACTGCCTTTAACAAATAGTTGAGAGTGTTTTTCTTGCCTTCATATCAGATCCTGAGCATTCTGTCACGTCATTCAAATCTCTCCAGCCTTGAACCCTCCAGCTTTCCCCTAACTCCGATGTCCCTTGTTCCTTCCCTCCCCCTGGCTTCCCCCTCCTACCTCCTGGCTGGTTCAGCGCCCGGTGGATGAAGTCAGCAGCCGTCTGGAAGTGGATGCTCATGTCAAAGGCTGGCGAGTCATGGGCCTCAACACCCAGGTAGCGAATGCCCAGCCCCTCGTAGGCCTCGGGCGTGCCTCGCCACCTGCTGTGTGAGGCATTGAGGACGTGGGTGACGCCCAGGCGACGGAGCTCCCGGCGGTTGTTGGCTATGTCCCTGCATTGAGTAGAGGATAAAGGGAGGGTGGGGAAGCTGGGCTCTGGGGCAAGAAGCCCTGGCCTCCACCCTGTCCTCTGCCTAGCTAACGTCATTGGCTCCATGCCTCCGCTGTACTTACTGAGGACCCAGAGGGGGGAACCAAGATGGGCAACGACCTGGCGTCTCGTCCTTGAGCAAGGGTTGAGGGTACTGGGGAGGTTCTGCCTGGAGAAGAGAAGACTAATGGGGTGGGCGAACGATAGCCATAATAAAATATTGAGAGTCCTCCAAGGCAGCTTGATCTGTGGGAAGGACTGACTGGCTCTGTACTTCGTGTACAGAAGTATGTACTAACCGTGGAATCCAGCTGAAGAAAGACGGAAACACCTTGGGAGAGAATGACTCTCCTGTCACTGGGGTATTCAAGCACAGAGAGGAGGTCAGTGTATAGGCATGGATGCGCAAGAGGGGATCTGGACCTCAGCTGGGTTGTTGGACCAGCTCACGTTCAACCTCCTTGTTAACCTTGAGGCGATAGGATTCTGACCCTTGCTCCCACACCTAGCTCCCCTGTTACTTTCTGCTCTCGTTGACACCCAGAATGTTCTCATGTTCTACTAGTTATTCCATGCTCATTTGGACCATGTTTTACGACGTTACCTTCGGGGGTTCCTCTGGCCCATCCCCCGCAGCTTAGTGGCAGACATCTCTCAGGCAACATGGCCACACCTCAGGGCCAACGCCCTGTCCAGTGCAAACTCCTCAAGTACGAGCCCTGAACTTGAACCTCCAAGTCCTGGCTCTGCTACTTACGACCCGTGTGACCTTGGGCCAGTCACAACGTCTCTGAGCTTCAGTTTTGCCATCTGTAACCTGGGGGCAGTGGTACCTACCTCACAAGGCTGTTGTGAAGATTAAGAGAGGAAATGCATGTGAAAAACTCCTTGTGGACTATGAAGCCCTTGAGAGACAGAGAAGTGAGGGGCCTCCTCCCTGGATGCTCTTCTCTCCAGGCCCTCCTGCTGCAGGGCCTCTGCATACACGGCGGCTTTGCCTGGTCAACCCCTCGGCTTCCTACCCACTCCCTGGCTCCCGATGGCTGCCCGTGTCCAGCATCACAGCACAATACATGGAAGGTTAGGGAAGTCATCTACAGTGTCCGCCACATGGCATTGGCACTCAGTAATTAATTTTGCTAAGTGAGTGACGTTTTTACTTGAACAGAGACTATCTGTCCAGAGTTAATAATCCTGCCCCAACTGCCCCAAACCCTCCAGCCTCCACTCTCTGCCCATGCACCCCTGCCCCTCCCTCCTCACCCCGGAAGCAGCAACACGACTCAGCACCTGCCTGCCACCCTTCTCCTTTCTTCTTGCGTGCGTACACACACACACACACACACGCGCGCGCGCGCGCGCAGCCATGACCCCGGGATGCCGGGTACGTACTGGTCTCCGAGGTAGAGGCCCGGCCAGACCTCATCGGCATGGTTACAGGCGGTCTTGCCTGTGTAGAGCAGCCTCTCCAACTCAAAGACATTGAGGAAGGGATGTTGCACATCTGGCATCTCCTCCAGGGCCCCTCTAGTACGAACAGGAGACCTTGAGCCACTCCGGGAGAAGCGGGCCATAAAAGTCATGGAGGCCCAGAGCCAGTTACCAGGGCACATCTTAGAGGCGGCTGCAGGGGTGGCTTTGCGCCGACGCGGGGTCAGTCTCCAGGTAGCTGTTGCTGGAGGAGGGATGGAAGGGAGACACACCTGAGTGGGTCCGGAGCAGCTGCTTCTTCTTGCCAACTGGGCTGGGCCCTGGGGAGAAGCTTCTCAAGGGAAGGAAGGGAAGTCTGGCCCTGGCGGGGGCGGGGGGAGGGGCTCCCTAATTACTCTTTCCTTCAAGCTGCAGCAGCTCCTTTCTGCTCTTTGGCTCAGCCAGGCAAGGAGGTGGGAGTCACATGTCCTTGTTTACGGGAGAGGGAGCTGCCCAGCTGCTGGCTTTTTGCCCCACCACTCCACCCCCACTCCCAACACACATACACAAACACACACACGCGCACACATTTGATATTTGGGTGGCAGTGCCCATTGTGGGAGCTCCCGCCAGCCGGAATCTGGGTCTCATCTGCCTGGGTCCCCAGGCAAAGAGCCCAGGGAGCTGGGAGGGGAATGGGGGGGTGGCTTTGGACCCACCCAGAGAGAATGAGCAGGAAGATAGCAGCAGCTGGGGCCATGACATATGCCAAGCCCTTCTCCTCAGCACCAGAGAGATGGGCTGCTTTAACCCATTGCTGCCCTACCACTGCCTCAGAGTTAAGCCTACTATGGGAAGTGTTACGTTGGGGGCTGGGGTGAGTGGGGAACAGCAATAAAGAGAAAGTGTAAGTTTCTGAAAAATACTTGCCGAAGGCATGCACTAATGGAAGAGGGTGCCAAGCTAAGTGCACAACAGCCAATCTACTCTCCTTTGATCAGCATGCAGAAATTATTGATCAAACCTCATCTCTCATGTGAGGATTTCTGAGTCAAGCAGGGCTGGAGTAATGTGTCTGGGTGTGTAGGGGAGAGGCGGAGGCTGGGGGCTGAAGAAGGGAAGGGATAAGGGATTCTGCCAGGCCCAGGGGCTCAGAGGCTGAAATGACCATCTGAGTTGCTGTTGGAGTCAAGTGACCCTATTCGGGGCATGGGGCTGGCAGTGAGGGGCTTAGCAGGTGTGCCTCAGACTCCCTGTGGACAACTGGCCTTTGTAAAAGGCTTGTGCAGAGCTGCAGAGCTGGGAAGAGCCAGCCTTTGAGACTTGTCCTGGGTCCTTCAGGCAGAGAGGCCACTGTGACAAGAGCCCCTCCGTCCTCCTCCTCCCCCTCTCCCATCACCAGGGTGGACTGGTCCCAAGGATTCCCTTTCCACTCCCTTCCTGGTCCTCAACCAAAAGTCTAGTCTCGAGAGGCCATCTTTGACCTGCACACACTCTGCGGACCCATCCCTCCCTGTGAGCCAGGGCCCCGGCTCTGCTTTCCCCCAGGCCAGAGGAGACCGAGCACTAACAGGTCTTAGGAAGCATGGGCATTAGGATCAGGGCTGCTGAGGGGAGCCTGGATCTTAGGGCGTTCAGGGAGAGAGATGTTTGCAAAGGCTGGGGCAGAAAGAGCACAGAAATATAGCACTCTAGCCACCATCGCCATCACGAACCACCACCACCATCATCATTCCATCATCATCATCATCATCATCATCATCATCATCATCTGCCTTGTCTCCTCAGGCCTAAAGACCCCATCACTTTATTCCCAAACAACGGTTTCTCGAAATGGGTTCTGCTGCCCGGGTGACTGATGCTAAAGGGTAAAGAGGAAGCGGGAAGGAGCCCAGGTGTAGGGAGGAGCTCGGTGGGGCTCTATTTCTCCTCGAGGCTGGCGGAGCCCCATTACGTCCCGGGGTATACCCCTCGGCCTTCTCCAATCCCATCCGCCGCGTTCAGGCGCCTTGGTCCGCGGCCCCCCCCCCCCCGGCCGCCGTGGAGGTTGTAACAGGTTCATGGCTGTCGCCCCAGCCCCGGCTAACCCAGACAACCCGGCGCTGAAGGTGCAGGGAGGGAGCCCTGGGGAGCTCAGCTAGCTGGCTCCCGCGTCCCCCACCCCCCCGCCCCAAGCCCAGCCCAGCCCGGAGCCGTGCGCCTCTCCGCGCCGCGGGGGAGGCGACCACCCCCCGCAGCCCCTCTACCTGGGTGCGAGCGCGGCGCGGGGTCTCAGTCGCGGAGGCCGATGGCAGGCGCAACCGGCCCCACGGCCATGACTCTCCTGCGGCCGCCGCCGCCGCCCCCGCCCGCCGCCGCTGCGAGACCGGCTGACGGATTAGCCTCTATTTTTAAGCCATGACACGCACGTCGAAGCAGGGTTCCTATCGGGGTGTCGCTGACACACAGAGACGCAGCCCGGCACCCAGCGGCCCGAGCGCACACGCAGCGTGGGCTCACCCGCGGGTGTTGACAGCCCGGACACAGAGCACGCAGCCGAGCAGCCCCGCCTCGCGTGCATGCTCGGGCGGCCGTGTGTTTTCGGAGCTGCGCCAATTACAGGGCATTTTGCTTGAGGACGACATTATGCAAGCCGTCCCAGACGATGCCTTAAACACACTCGCTCCTCCCCAGGCAGCATTCGTTAATTACATAGACACCACGGCGCGCCTTACTTGTCCATTTCTTATTCTCAAGAACACCGTGTCGTAAACAACACGGGTCGGGAGCCCTTATTAGTATTTAGCATATACCACGTGTTTCACATCTCTTCCCTCGGTTTATCCTCGCCACAAGTCTGTGAGCTAGGTTGCATTATCATTGTCCCCATTTTAGGGAGGAGGAGACTGAGGCCCAGGGAGGTGAAGTCATTTGCCCAGGCCACACGCTAGTTACGGGCTGAGCTGAGTTTCAGACCCTGGCAGTCTGACTCGAAGTTCATGTCTTTAACTGTTCTAAACCAGTGACCCCACACAATGGAGAAGGCACAGTGGATTTCTATCAGGAAGCCACTTCCGGCAGCTCAGCTCTTAAGTGAACACCTTTCCCCCGACTCTGGAAGAAATTCATGCCCCTACCTCTTCACTTGTGCTGCCTTTCAGTGATATTTAGCTTTAGTTGCTTTTCTACTGTAATCACCTTGTCAGTTCGAAGTCGGTCAACACTTCGCAGGCAGGGGCGGTGCTGCCGTCCCCAGTCCCCAGGTCATCGTGTGATGGGGAAAGTGGCAGAGTGAATGCATGTCAGCAGAGGATGCTGTTGAAAACCAGGCAGATGTGGACTCCCGGGAGAGTTGTCTGCAGGAAGGAGGCAGGAAGTGGATAAGGTCACGCTGGACCTAGTTTCAGATGAGAACACATTAGCAACTGCAGCCAAAATCGGGACTATGTTCCCAGCAGGGGTGGTGGGTGAGGCTTTGATCTCTGGTCAGAGAAAGTACTTATTGGCCAAAGTGACACAATCCTCAGGTCAGTTTTGTGCTAAAGAGGAGGTTCCATTACAGGCTGCCAGCAAGGATTAATCCCTCCCACCCCCCAGCCTTTTCCTTTCTAGAGAAGCAAACTCAATTCCTTTCCATGCCTTCTTGGCATGACGATTTACATGAAGAAATGAAATCCTCATCATTTAAAACAAAGAATTGGCCTGGGAAATTTGAAATTTTAATTTGTCCCCAAGAAAAGTCAGTAAAAAATGGTCATAAGTCAAATCGTGAAAGAGCACATATTATTGGACTAACCTCATTTTAAGTGACAGAGTCTTTAGGGTTGGTAGGTTGAGAAGATGTTGTAGGCAAACTTGATCTCAAGCTTTGGCAAGACTTCCTTTTCAACCCTGCATTTCACTTTTCTCAAAAAGCTGGAAAAATATGCTTTAAAGCATGCCATGGACAACATGGGCAGATGTTTACAGGTACCCATAGAAGTTGTCCATGGATCCAACATCTTCATTAATGGACTATTAATGACCAGGGGTCAACCCATAACTCAGGCGGCTTTATATTTTTCTTTGTAGCTAGGAGGTTTATTATGTTTCTAGGTGACATCAAACAAAATTAAGGATGAGAGGGGGAGGGAGGATGGAGGAAAGAGTTAGTGGGGAGAAGTAATGCAGAAGGTAGGACAGGAGAGGGTTGGAAGCTAATAGAAGCACATGTATTGATAATTTACTATCTGTAAATTCCTTGTGCTTTCACATTTATCAGCTCATTTGATCCCACCCAACTTTTAGGTGGGTGTTATTATCCTCACTGAATGCATGAGGAGACTGACACTCGGCCAGATGTTAATTCACCCACAGCTAGTCAATGGCAGACCACGGGTCCAAACTCAGGGCTATCTGATTCCAAACGCTTCTATTTCAAGATGAGGCTGAAGAGTTGTTTCCTTTATAAAACCTTTCTGGATCCACTGTCTTTTGTCTGCTTCCTTGTTTGTGTTGATACAGATATCTATCGAAGGACCCATGAGCTATATGTAACCTCACTTATTTCTATGTTTCTTTCTTTCTTCTTAAATATTATTTATTGGACAGAGAGAGCAAGAGAGCAAAAGCAGGGGGAGCAGCAGAGGGAGAGGGAGAAGCACGCTCCCTGCTGAGCAAGGAGCCCTATGCTGGGATTCCATCCCAGGACCCCGGGGGATCACGACCCAAGCAGGAGGCAGACGCCTAACCGGTTGAACCACCCAGGTGCCCCTCTATATTTCTTTAAATCTCTGCCCTCCATACTAGAAGGCATGAATGGATACATTATACTGGGATAACTAAGATGGAAAAATGAGGCTACTGAAAAATAGGAACAGATTTCCAAACGGTCTCAAAAGAAACACCTCGCTCCCCCCAAAATATTTAAGTAAGAGAGAGAGGGGGAGGAGTGGGGAAAAAAACCCCAAGAGACACCAACAACCATGTGTTAAATGGTAATTCTAACCCCTACCATTAACTACAGGCTGGGCACTATGCTAAGTGCTTTACATAGATTAGCTAATTTAATCCCATAAAGTAGGTATTATTAATTCCATTTTACAGTTGAGGAAACAGATTTAGAGTGGGGGCAAATCCACTCTGAAGCAGCCAAGCAGCTAATAAGTGGGATTTGAGCATGGATTTAAACCCAGGACTGTTTTAAACCAAAGCCGGTGTCTCCCATCACTGTAGCAAGTAGGCATACCTAAAGAAAAAGAATAGCAATAGCTAAAATGTACCAAGTCCTACTGTGTGTCAGGCATTCAGCAGAAATTACATGAAGGAAGGCATGCTCAAGCCTTGAGTCCTGGGCCCTTGGGGGCGTGGCTGGCCAGGGGCAGGATCCGCTGGGTGTGCGCGCTGGGGACGTCCGCTGCTGCAGGTTACCGCTTTCCCGACACAAGACACAGGCAGAAGGACGGGGACCTGGCTTCCTTCCAGCCACCACGCCCCAAGTACCGCCACGCCCCTCGCTCCCGGGCTGGTCCACCCCGGGCTGGTCCACCCTGACCTCTGCTGCCGGTGTAGACAGCATTTTCACCGGAAGGGTCCAGTAGCAGAAGATAGACAATTGTGACTTTATTTGGCGGTGGGAATGTGGAGAGGGGAGGCGGGGCAGAAGACTAGGTGTCCTTTTGAGGGGCCCCGTGCTGATTCTGACTTATTCTTCTAAATCTCCATTCATCCAGTGCCTGTCCTTTGGCTTCTTCCTCCGCCCCTGGTTAACACCTCCTCTCCCCCAGGTCCGCACGTGGGATTGGTGGGCCTGCCCTCTCGGGTGTCGGCCGGGTGTGAGTGAGCCTTTCCTCTGCCCGGCTCCTGCTGGTTCTGAATTGGGGGTGGGAGGAGGCGCGGGGGTCCTTTTGGTAGAGGGGCAATCCGGCTTTTGCTTCAACTCTAATAACTTCCTCTCCACCTCTCCTGCAATGCATTCTGTAGCCACTTTCCTCCTGGTTTACCTAAGGGTGAACACATCTTACCGCTGTGAATATTCACTTTCTCCAAGAGCCACACATTATCGCACTGAGCAGATATTCCTTCCATCAGCCTGACTTTAGAATGAAAATAAACTCTAGAGAAGCTAGTGCCCTTATAGCAGAAATAAACGAGGACATTATGTGCAAATAAACAGGATACAAAAGGAATATGCAGCAAATCCCCCTATTAAAAAAAGAAGGGAAGGAGAAGAAAAGCAGGTATAAATACACATTTTGAAAAAGACCCAAAGAAAATATGCCGAATATTAAAAGAGGTCATCTCTAGACAGAGTGGGATGACAGATAATTTTTATCTTGTGCTTTAAAATATCTACATTTCCCAATTTTTCTACAGTCCATATGACTTCATTTTAAATGTCAGTTCTATGAAATTGGTTGAGATTTCCTGAGTGGCTTTCTATGTGGCCAATTTTTTAGCAAATGTCCCGCACATGCTAGAAGAGGCTATTTAATCTCTGTCTTGGAATTCAAGTTTCTATCTTTCTTTCCGTCCTATATAAGGTTTTAAAATATTCTTGATTTATCAGCTTTTGAGAGATGGATTAAAATCTCCCAGGTTTATGGGCTTGTTAATTCCTTACTCTAATTGATGAAGGATAGTTGGAAGGCAGGCAGGCAGGGATAACGGGCCCCCACTCTAAGAGGATTTTACACCACCCTGGAAGGAGCCCTCCACCCTATCCCATATGATAGCCAGGTGACAAAAGCCTCATTGGGTGACAGGCACAGGGAGGGTTAACCAGATTAAAACAGCCCACGAACAAGCGCATAAAAACCCCTAGATTTAGAAACTCTGATGGCAATCCCTTTGGGTCCCCTCCTTCCTTGGGAGCTTTGTACCATTACTTTGCTATCGCTCAATAAACCTTGCCTTACTGCCCACCACTCTGTCTGGTCTACCTCTTCATTCTTTGAAGTGGCATGACCAAGAACTGCGGGCACTGATGGAGAAAAAAGTCCTGCAAGATAACTCTGTCCGTTTTTGTTTGGAATAGTACCAAGTTGTGTTATTAGATACATAAAATTCACAGGTTTTTAAAAAAAATTATAACTTTTTTTAGTTGGTAGGTTGTCTCTCTAAGACTTTAAAAAATCTCTGTCTGGAACACATGTATATATATTTTATTTTATTTTAAGTGTAGCTCTCATAAACTGTTTATAGGTAGTTTTAAAAATCAATCTGTATTATATTTTGGAAAATTTATTTATTTTAGAGAGGGAGAGAGCACTCAAGCAGGGGGAGGGGCAGAAGCAGAGGGAGAAAACCTCAAGCAGACTCCAGGCTGAGCTCAAGCCGGAGGCAGGACTCGATCTCAGGACCCTGAGATCATGACCTGACCTGAAATCAAGAGTTGGCCGCTAAACTGACTGAGCAACCCAGGTGCCACAATCAGTATTTTAATAGTGATTCTCTTTTTATATTTATTGTGATGACTGATCTATTTAAAATAATTTCTGCCATCTTACATTTTGTTTTTTTAAGTTTATCGTGCTTTCTCTTTCTTCTTGTCTCCTTTCTTTGGTTTGGTTTATCTTGTGTTTTTTATTCTCTTTAC